AGTTATATCAAAGGACACACACCACTGTACACAGTGGATTGATAATACTTGTATGTGGGCTTTTAGTTCTATTATTTTCATTATTATATTCTACCATCCTTGTTCCTAACATAGTCATGGACAATATGCAGTACTTGTTAGGTTAATTAAATAGGTGTGGGATGAATGAGTACCTTGTTCCAAAAAATCCGAACATAAGAGGAAGACCAAAACATGATATGTTACTGACTGGTTACAAGTCATTAAAGCTAGAATCAATAGCTTCTCATGAACTATCAAATGTCAAATAGAGTCAAGTAACTATATAATTTGTAACTTTCTACAGTTCAAGAAAAAGAGGGACCTTCCTAGAAGAAACAGCTGGTAGGATTAAGGTTCAATGCAGAATTATCTCAGTTATGTACAACATAATCAAAGTGCTAGATGTTTACAGGAGGAACTGAAGTTAATGAAATATTTCCGAAAACTGAAATTGTTGTAATTCACTTTGATCTCAGAACAAGTCATGTTGGGCTAAAATGGAAGAATTATCATTTATTCCACTCAAATTATTTTCTTATATAAAACAGCTGGTAGGATTAAGGTTCAATGCAGAATTATCTCAGTTATGTACAACATAATCAAAGTGCTAGATGTTTACAGGAGGAACTGAAGTTAATGAAATATTTCCGAAAACTGAAATTGTAATTCACTTTGATCTCAGAACAAGTCATGTTGGGCTAAAATGGAAGAATTATCATTTATTCCACTCAAATTATTTTCTTATATAATAACCACCCTTAAAGTGAAATAACTTGAGCAAAACTAAATTAAAATGTTGTTTTTTTGTTATTTGTGTTTTTACATAAAATGTAATTATAATTATAAATGTTAATGAATAATCGCAATGGGTGAGTTTGAGCTCATTTACGAATCATTTCATTTTCCAACAAGATGGGGCTCCAAGCAATAGATCCCACAAGAATTTCAAATGTTTAAAGAAAAATGTGCCTACATTCATCCTCCTTTTAATCACTGCCTCCCCCAGATTACCCGATCACCCAACGTCTGCAACTACCACATACTGGGAGAAGTAACAGAATTGATGTACCATAAATCCTTGACATCAGTTCAGTCCCTTAAAGACAGAATAGATGTTACAATTTATTTTAAAACCAGAAGCAAAATGTTGAAACATCAGAATTCAATTTCTAGTAAATTCAAGCACTGGTATAATGTTGGTTCAGAGCGCTGGTCACATGTTTTTTTGTCCATCATTGGGACTCTTTCATTATGACTGACAAGAAAAAAAGTTGTACACATGTTGTACACATTTGTGTTCTTGTATAAAAGTGTGTGCATTCTTCAGTCAAAAAGAAATTGCTTCATTTTTTCAACAGCGATAAAATAATCATCGAAGGGCCTACACTGGAGACCATCCTTAAACAAGAGGCCCTACAACTTTGAGCACCTTCATATGAAGGTTAGACGACACAATATATTTGAAGATGCAAAATGACGCATTAGTAGGATGACACAAGACCAGAAAACCTGCCGTGAGAGCCTGGACAACAATATGCTAAATGCACTAATGACAATATCACTAAATGGGCTTTCAATGGAATTTTACTCAGATGTCACTAGAATGGCATTCATGATATTTGACAACCTGAAGATGAGGAGGTATAGTGGGCTCAGAGGCTCTTCATATTACCAGGAAAGTTTCATCACAGGAAACGTATTGGCCTTGACTGATCTAGCAGTGATTGCATTCGTCAGTGATTGCATTCGTCAGTGAACTTCAAAAGCATTGAATTTATGTAGCCAAATGTAATAAAAAAATTAAAAAAAAATTTATTGTCATTGTTTTCCAAATGTGTCACTCTAAACCAAAACTCCATGCCACCACTGCCACCTGACAAACCTAAACCCAGATATTGGCAAAGGTGTGTAATAAATGGTCACTTGTTCTGTAACAAACACTACTGGATGTATCATGTTCCAGCCAGGGGCTATAAACTTTTTTTTAATTATAAACAAACATGAAAATCAACTTAAAATATACTGGGGTTGAGTCGACTTGGGGTTGAGTTTTACAGGGGTTGACTAAGATCCTGCTGGACAATGAGGAACTATACAACGATGGCAACTTGGGCTAGGATATTGTAAAAGCTCAACTCACAGTAAGAATGAAGCAACATTGCAGCAAATTGGAGTTAATGTGTTGCGCAGTAAATTCAGGAACTCAGATCTAAAAAGTATGAAGAGTGTAAAAGGATTTGCACATGGTCTCTCAACCCTACAGCTGTACGAGCTCGTATACTAATTTACTAAAGAGAACTGGAAAATGTTGGTATCAATGTGCTTATGCTACCCCCTATTGGACATATGCTTAACCCTGCAGAGTTGTTCAATGTTGCCATCCAGCAGAGTGTAAACAGTCAGTATCTGCCTGACTCACTCAGGGACAAGTATGGTTGCATGATTGTCACGGGGGATAAGCAAAACGAGGGCGAAGCCACGAACTGCGACTCGCGTAATTCAAAACGAGGTTACAACGCATTATAGCTGAACAATGGCGGTAAATCCAAACTTAATTTGGAAGGCATGTTAGGATTTGGGGTAGATTATTGGTTTGGATATTCTACAGAATAGCTAGTATGTTCCAGTCGGTGATCAACATATTCATACTCCACCTGCAATGGCATTCTTGGTGCTCGGCTGTCCAATAGTTTAGCATGAACACAAATGAATTCAAAATCTGCCACAAAAAATGTAATTTTGTCAATATTTGTCCCTAATATACCGATTCAAACAAAGGAATCAGAAATGACATCGAATTAATATAATTATTCATGTTCTGTTGTTACAATTACATCTTCGTGTGATATTTGGTAAGCAGAAAACGTACAATTACATAGAAAATTGGAATTTATTATAGTCGCAGTCCATCCATCTGCCCAACACAGTCCGCGACTCAGTGTTGCTTTATATCTGAAGCTGAACGCAATCACAGCCAAAGGTAGATAGCACAATGTGTGTACAGGTGTGGCCGAAATGGAGCAACTTTGGACAAAATTGAATATAAAGGCTATTTTAATAGACCTACATCGTGTCTCAATCCATTCTGCAAATATATACAAGCTGTCAAATGCAGCTGAAATCATGAATTTATGGTAGCTAGCAATATTGATGGACTGTTGGAAAGATCATCCAAAATTATATTAACTCACCAACTCTCCAATTATTTGATATTTTCCTGATATCTTAAATACTAGTTAATGTACCCTTCCCCAACAGCTTTTATTGCATCATCAAAAAGTTAATTGTTTCGCATTTCTACTTCTTATAAAAAGTCTCACCACTATCCAATTATCTATATATTTAACCCTATCCACAAATTGGTTTGTAATAAACATATTACGTTGTCATCTTGCACTCGACTGTTCTGCCAAATACGCTATTGAATTGCCATATTTCTAGGTCTTAAACGATACAATATAGCAATTTGGGACATTGATTCAGGTAATAGATATATGTTAATCAACGTAACTTTGAATGATCTTTCCAATGATATGTCACACTTGGTGATTTTTGGTGTAGGGGGGGGGGGGGGGGGGGGGTGCGGGACTTATTTGGCACCCTTCTATGGAATGAATTATGATACATGCACGAGCGAACGTACAATACCACGAGTGAATATGAGGTCATGTCAATCATTTTTTAATTATTAATAATCGAAGTTTCGTCTTGAGTCAATAAGAACAAAGCTCCATAACAGACGCTTTTGATTGTTAAAAGGCATAAACTACGTTTTGTGAAAAATTGGAAAAACATGATCGTTTTGATTGGTTACAAACATACTGTATTTATTTTGACATAACATGTGCATTCTATGAGTATAGAATACAAATTACAATTTCATAAGATGATATACCACTAAGTATCACTTTTTGAAGCGTATTCATCTCAATATAATGATTCTATGGACTGCGTTGCTTAGAATATCAATGGGGGCTGTGTTGCGTTGTTGAAATAGCTTTGTTTACTGGACTGCGTCCACTATGAATGCGCAGGTATGTACCTTATCTATTGTATTTTCATTGTTTCCATTTTTATATGTTTTGTATATTGCCGACAATGTTGAAAAAAACGTAGGCAATAATATTGTAATGTATTTTATGTTATTTTTGGAATAAATGAGAAATGAAAAAAAAAATGAATGCGCAGTTTGAATCTAATTTTCTCCTCATGAACACATTCTATTATCAAATCATTTTCACGAATTATACTCGGAGCCTCAACTAACCTTTAGATATCAGAAACGTGTTAAAACTCCTTTTAAATGTATAGTAAATTAAATAATATGCACATATTTTACAGGTAAAATCAGAACTTTGCTTCTGTTTTAGCTTGATCTGGACAACTGCTTATTTTCTTATCTACAGACCAACAGTAGATACAGAGTAATATTTTGGTCACCGATTAGACACTACGATAGCATTTAAAATACCTGGATTTCTCTATTTTGTCGGAAGAAGCAGAAGGCACTGCCGGATGTCCCTCCATTTTGGCGCTGGGCTGGGCTGCGGTGTAAAGTTACCCGAGTCGCAGTCCGTGGCTTCGCCCTCGTTATGCTTATCCCCCGTGATTGTTGGTCCTTGGTCATTTATGGAGTACTTTAAGCACTTAATGCCTTTAGCACTTGATGCCTTACAGCAAATTGGACAAAACTAAGGTCAGATTTGAACTCTTGAGAATTTGTAGATGATTTTTTTTTTAAAAAATTGGTCAATTTGAAGCAAGTTGAAATTTGACCTTGAAAAATTTCAAAATTTGACCTTTTTCTATTTTTTAGCTCTAATATCGCAAAACTGGTGCAAAATTTTAATAGGTAATCAATTGCTAATATGTGTAGGACCTTTAAAGGAATACCTATCCTGACTTTCATCTAACAATATTAATTTGTAGTCTCCAACTTTGAGAAACTTAGAAAACTTTGGGAAATCATCTATCACGAAATGTTCAGAGAATTAACTGACACAACTAGTCCCACGGATGATGAGCTACATCTCCATCATGAATCTACCAACAATGAGACAGAGACAATGAACTCCCACGTAAAAAGCATAATAAGGCTCATAACCGAAGCTGAAAATCCCTTCAAGAAGGCTGGTGAGTCAAAAGCTCCACAATATCCTCACACAAGAGATGTTGTAAGGATGCTCGCTTAGTGATGCTTTGGCCCGGGTTCGAATCCTGCTGAAATTTTTTTTTATTTTCTTTTAAAATGATACAATCAATTAATTTTATTCTTTATCTCTCAAGAATCTTTAATTCTTATTTTAACAATATGTAAATTTGTAAAATATATCCAATGAATTCAGGACAGAATATGCAGCACACAGCTCACTAATAAACCGAGTTAAAGGTAGAAATAAGATAAAAATTGTAGATGTAATACTTCTTTCATCTAGCACATAATTGTACAATCACTATTCAGAAATTTTAATTGATTGCCAGTTGTGAAAGAACTAAGGTAAGTGCTAACACGTTCCCTCGCATACATTAGCTCTGATTTCACTGACGTTCTTGGGATGAATGCTTTGATGTGTGGGCTTAGATTCGGCGCCAGTCTTCTCTGTGTGAGAGACGATGACAGGTGGTCTCTATGTCCCTAACATGCACGTCGATAATCAAGACTAGGTGTGTAACACGACGAGCTTCCATCACATACATCTTTACACTACTTTCATTTCTACACTACACACATCTCGCACAATTTCTGCTGGGATTCGACAATCAATTTTCAAATTAACTCCCTTCAATATTCGTTTTCTTATAAAATAAAGATAACATTCATGAATGAATGCTTCTTTTCATGCATTCTGTTGAATTAATGCAAAATTTCTCTTTCAGTTTTATAGCAACAATCACACAAGTGACAATGGCTAATGCAACAAACAACACTGACGGTTTCAATGCAACAAACGACATTGACGGTTTTTGGGCTGTAGGCCCGTTATCCATGCTTACTGGAAATGTCAATTTACTAACATCTTATCGACGTGCTACGCCACTCAGCAATCTCTTTCGCAACTACCCTTCTATGGACCAGGTTATGGGCTTCAAACCTCTGTTTAATTTCACCATCGGCTATACAGGGATGTGGACTGTGAGTCTTATTACTAACACATTGAGACTTCAACATGAACAGTTTTTGGGAGGAATTATAACTGCCATCAATCATATCCGAGAAAACAACACCAATGATCCCACTGTTACCTTCAACTACTCTATCCTAATGGGCCTTCTGGTGAAGTCACATAGCCAGGTAATAATAATAGATATCACTTACCCAATATCGCGAAAACGTTAATGCCTTGCCTTATGATTAATAAATAGACAAGTCTTAATTTATGCTTTCCATTTCAGGTCAAACTTTTTGAATCCAGTTTTGATGCTCTATCGGCCTCCTTGCAAGTTCAGAATGCCAACTCAGAGGACAAGATCTACTTTTTAGTTCAAGAAATGGGGGGCAAGGCACCACCAGAGAGCACTGGAGCTAGAATTATTTATGGACTAAATTTGGACAGCGTTGGCGTTATGGGCGTTCAGCTAGCCACAGAGTTTCACGCTAATGACCCGAATGTCATCTTAGGCTTTCCTCGGGATATCACCAACGGTAGGAAAACTCACGATATTGCGAATGTTTATACTGCTTTCGGCGTAAAGACACTCCAGACGTTCACGACCAAGAACAACGTACACATATTGGAAATGCTGAACCTGGCGAGAGAAGATCAACGACTCTGGGGAGAACAGTTTTCACATTGCCACGATTATTACCCAGTCACTTGTCAAGGCCTCAACGCAGAGGACAGGAAGATCTGCGCCCCTCAATGTCCAATTACCACCGTTAGCCTTTTATCCGAAGAGGCTTGGCCAGCACATTCTGTCGAGGCAGCCAGACGGCAACTGATGTCGGCCAGATCGGCTGTCACCCTCCTTGCTGACAAGCAATACTGCATCATATTGTTGTAAAGACTGTTCAAAGCAAGTTAATCATTTCAAAACTTCTTTCAGGTGTGAGGTCGAAGTTATTCTGAGCAGGGGGGGATTTATGACCCAAATGCAGTTCCCAGTGTAGACAATGTACAGGCTTTGTTTGACTAATATTTTGAACATCTTCAGTCTAGATAGAGACATCAATTTAGAAGAAAAGGCCCTGAAGATCAAGTTGGGAAAGATTGCCTCAAACAATATGGGTTCGGATTGGCTACTCTTATGAGTAAAACTTAAACATATTTTAGACAATGTCTTGAAGATGAAGGGTGATGGCAGGTGCCTATTTCGTGCATTAGATCCAGGCAAAAAAATGTTTATGGGAATGCAGAGACCATAGAGGCTGATTTCATTAGACAACGTGTAGTAGATCACTACTATAAGATCAAGGATGAGTTGCTTACTATGAAATCTGAATTTGGGGCCATTCCATGATATGAATTAGTAAAATCGAATCTCTATCAGATTTAGTGCACACTCTTAAGTTTCAGATTATAAAAATGAAGTTTGCCTTTAAAATGCAGCAAAAGGCTGAAAATATCGCTCATATCCTTACTGTATATGTCAGGAATACGACAATATCCATAAATATTCTGCAAAATATGTTGACAGTATCCATATATATCCTGAAAAAATGGTCAAGTTATCAGACGTAATGATGAGTATCTAAGTTGTATGTTAGTCGTATTCCTAAGAATCCGTTTAAAAACGAGACGTTTATCAGAAGTATCCAAAACACCGGATATTCCAGGATACCACTGTTCCGTCTCTCACTAATATTCATGGATATCCAAAATCATTATACTTGTAGTATTTATCAAGGATTCTTATGGAAACGTTCTATATTCATATAATATCCGGCAAGTATCCAGGTTGAATACTACATCATTTTTCGCTGTGTAAAGAGCCTTACTGTTTAGATAGACAGAAGGCTAGAGAATTTCAGACCTACAGGAGAATCCGAGAAATAGAGATACAGAGTTAGAGACATTTACATCAGAATCCCAGCTAGATACAGAGATATAGAAAACCAGACAATGTAGCAGAATTCCAGAGGGATAGAGAGAACCATAGACAGTAGAATACAAGATATTTGGTGGCAAGATATTTGGTGGCAAGATAATATTGATTCAAAGACACTGGAGATATAGGGTCCACATAAAGCCAGAGACATTTTTTATTTATTTTGTATTTTATTGCGGGCTAATAACAGCCAAAATAGAATTACCTGCTTTTTATATATAAACTTGAAATATTGTGTTTGTTTGTAGGCTCCGCTTAAGTGTCAACCGACCCGACACGCCCAAAGACGTCTCACCCCTATATAAACAAACGACATATTGTATTCTAATCAAAATAAAATCAAATCTATACTGCGCTTCCATGTGAGGCCGTGTAATTTTGAAAATGTTGACTGATTTCATAAATCACTAGTTAATTACTTGTGGTGATAACATAATAAACTTTATAACATAAACGAGTAATCTGATAGTACTATTATGTCAAGTATCATCTAAGAGAGATTGAGAATTTAATTATAATATTAATGTAATGATGACAACCAAATAATTGGATGCAATCTTCATTCATAAGGCCATCAGAAAAGCCAAATCTGGATCTTTTGCTTTCAATTATATGTTCTGGGCTTGGGTGCTTATCACTAAATTCAATAATTTTGAATAAAAATTGTATTGTATGTTTCAGTCACACTTTCACAGTCATTCATAGTAGATCAAATAATTATGTATTCGTAAATAAAGTGGAGATACAGAGGTTCTTATATGAGTACCTGTGCAAGATCGTCCATTCTTGATGAGCTTTGATAATTCTTCTTTATCGAGTCGAAGACGAGATAAAGAAACATTATCAAAGTGAGTCAAGAATGGACGATATTGCACAGGTACGAGTATAAAAGTAAGAAAGTTTTTCTCATATGACTCTGTATTGTGCCATATTTTCACCATTTTATCATAAAACTAAGTGAAAAATAGCTTCAAATTAATTGATCTTCACCTTTCAATTGTTATGACGTCATAACAATATTGAAGAAAATACATAGATACACGTGGCAACAAAGCTCCATTGTTATGACGTCACAACTTAGTTTTGTAGAATTAGCATGGATATTCATAGCAACGGTGCATCCGTTGCCATGTTGTTAATGTTTATAGCCCAGTGATGTCACAAGTAAATCTCATCTTGCACGTGTGACTTTTTAGGATGAAAGATGGCAATATCTTGCATGGGGTAAAGATGGCTGTATCTTTGTTAGTCATATGAGAAAATAATATAAATATTTCTATTTCATATTGCTAATTCAAAATTTTAAAAAATTGTCACATTTTATATAAGCTATTCCGTGACACCAAGTTTTACTTATAATTATAGGTATTCCAAATGTTCAATAACATGGGTTTGTCGGTTTCCCAAAATGACAGCTGTCAGAGATATTGACATTATAATTACTGACTTCGACAAACAATTATTCATCTGGAAGAGGGATGTAGAAGCAGCATTTACAGGTACATGTCTGAATATACCTCTTCCCCAAATTCTGTCCACATTATGTAATGGTGTAATCAGAAACTGCTAGCACCATTGCTTACACTGTCAATACTTTGTTGTTATTATTCTCTGATAACCATCTACTAGTTTATACCACACAGTAATTAAAATGTTTATGTATAGCATTAAACATAATTCATCTTATTAATTAGGATTAGGTTAGTGAAAAGGTTTTACTGTAATTGTAATGCAATTTTAATTTCATATAATTATGTTAGAGATATAAAATATAATTTGGTAAATCCTCACAACTTATCAGACATGTTCCCTTCCTACTATACTGTTGACAAGATGTCCAGATTATAATGATGTAAGAGTGAATGGAGAATTATAATGAACATGTCACTCTGATTGAGTTATTTTATGTATCATGCTGTCAATTATATTTTTAATCTCATACTATTAATTACTTTGACACCCTGGGGCAGCAAGTGCCTAAATTAGACTTTCGTTTTAATCTAATTCTTGTTAAAGCGTTTCAAGTTAACTCCTTCTTTAATTACTAGAGAACATTACAAGAGAGCAAGCACTGCAGAAATATATAAGCCCTTAAATGAATTAATATAAAAATATAATTACAAAAGAGCAAGCACTGCCCTGAAATAGTTGATAAGGCTTTATTTTTAGTGAGAACCAACACAACCAAACAATCAGCATAAACAACACAGAGCAACCATGCGTAAAAGAGATGGTAGGATACCAATCCCCAAAAGAAGACTATGATTCGTACGACGGGGACCTCGACGGCAGCCAGGCAGATCCCACCAACAACATCAGAAGCATACCAGACAGCCAACAGGACAGAAAAAAACCCACACCCTAACCAATGGCAAACCCAAAATTGATGGGTAGAACCAACACAAACACATCCAGGATAACGCCATACCAAATATCAAAGAAACCAACTAACATCATGGATACTCTAGGCCTCAAATCATGAAGAACGCCAAACAAACTGCCTACAGCCAAAGCAGACAGAATTGTGCTAGAGAACTTAAGAAAAGCAACCCACTGGGAGGCTCGCCACCAAGGAGCACTCAACGGCATCAACAATTCACCAGAGGGAATACGAAAGGGCCTTATCCCCAAGATACCCTGCAACATGCCGGAAAAAGATTAATCCGACATAGCAGAAGTGTTTGACACCATACTGAACAAATGCGGCGAGGAACTGACGACAACAGCCGAACTTCACAGCCAGAACCGACTGGAATTTTTCAAGCATGAAATAACATCACTTACTATGCAACTGGCTACAACCATCAGCGAAGAGGCACCAGAGGAAACCACCAAAAACCTCCGCAACTCAGCGTCCAAAAACAAACCAAGAAGACGTAATTCATCATCACACAGATCGACATAAACCATTAAAAAATGGCCCTTTTAAGGGCCACCTATCTATACCAAAAGAGAAATTGAATTCACAAAAAAAGATATGCTTCCCTTCTACCCAACTACAATGCTGAATTTCATCTTGTGTAAATAAAGAAGATGGCGGGGTAGCTATTTTTATCAATTTTCATTGAAATTATTAATTCCAATTCCAAGAACATAATTGTAAGCATCATCATCATCATCATAAACTGCCAAATGTAAACATTTAAAACGTTAATCAAAATCTTAATCACTTCATGACAAGAGTAACATCAGAAAATAAATATTCAATTGTAACTGGAGATTTTAATATTGATCTATTCAAATGTGAATCCTATCATGCATTGAGAGAATTTTTAAACCTTATGGAATCATTCAATCACCAACCCTTAATATACAAGTATAGGCCAACACGAGTAACATCACATTCTGTAACATTAATAGAGGATATTTTCACTAATCTAAACAATGATTTTATTTTCCAACAAGACAATGTTTGCCTCATACCATAGATTTAAGGAAACTTTGGCATTCCTTAGAAAATCTGCGATTGAACTTTCACTCAGCAAGCACTGCCCTGAAATAGTTGATAAGGCTTTATTTTTAGTGAGAACCAACACAACCAAACAATCAGCATAAACAACACAGAGCAACCATGCGTAAAAGAGATGGTAGGATACCAATCCCCAAAAGAAGACTACGATTCGTACGACGGGGACCTCGACGGCAGCCAGGCAGATCCCACCAACAACATCAGAAGCATACCAGACAGCCAACAGGACAGAAAAAACCCACACCCTAACCAATGGCAAACCCAAAATTGATGGGTAGAACCAACACAAACACATCCAGGATAACGCCATACCAAATATCAAAGAAACCAACTAACATCATGGATACTCTAGGCCTCAAATCTTGAAGAACGCCAAACAAACTGCCTACAGCCAAAGCAGACAGAATTGTGCTAGAGAACTTAAGAAAAGCAACCCACTGGGAGGCTCGCCACCAAGGAGCACTCAACGGCATCAACAATTCACCAGAGGGAATACGAAAGGGCCTTATCCCCAAGATACCCTGCAACATGCCGGAAAAAGATTAATCCGACATAGCAGAAGTGTTTGACACCATACTGAACAAATGCGGCGAGGAACTGGCGAGGAACTGACGACAACAGCCGAACTTCACAGCCAGAACCGACTGGAATTTTTCAAGCATGAAATAACATCACTTACTATGCAACTGGCTACAACCATCAGCGAAGAGGCACCAGAGGAAACCACCAAAAACCTCCGCAACTCAGCGTCCGAAAACAAACCAAGAAGACGTAATTCATCATCACACAGATCGACATAAACCATAAAAAATGGCCCTTTTAAGGGCCACCTATCTATACCAAAAGAGAAATTGAATTCACAAAAAAAGATATGCTTCCCTTCTACCCAACTACAATGCTGAATTTCATCTTGTGTAAATAAAGAAGATGGCGGGGTAGCTATTTTTATCAATTTTCATTGAAATTATTAATTCCAATTCCAAGAACATAATTGTAAGCATCATCATCATCATCATAAACTGCCAAATGTAAACATTTAAAACGTTAATCAAAATCTTAATCACTTCATGACAAGAGTAACATCAGAAAATAAATATTCAATTGTAACTGGAGATTTTAATATTGATCTATTCAAATGTGAATCCTATCATGCATTGAGAGAATTTTTAAACCTTATGGAATCATTCAATCACCAACCCTTAATATACAAGTATAGGCCAACACGAGTTACATCACATTCTGTAACATTAATAGATGATATTTTCACTAATCTAAACAATGATTTTATTTTTCAACAAGACAATGTTTGCCTCATACCATAGATTTAAGGAAACTTTGGCATTCCTTAGAAAATCTGCGATTGAACTTTCACTGAAATAATGAAAGAAACTGTAAAAAAAGTCAAGCAAAGAAGGACTCTTAATGCCGATGAAGCATTTGGACAAGAGTGTGGATATGTTAGCGATACACCTACAGGATTGGCTAAAAAAACGATACCCAACTTCAAATCCGGATAAAAATTGTTACATTCAATATGGTACATAGACTCATGTATCGTTTTAAAGGTAATTAATTTGATATATAGCGTCATGAAATCAATAGTTAAGTTTTATTATACTTATTTGGGAGGTAGGGTTGCTATTTAGGGTCTCTAGATTTTAGGGAGAAAATAGTAAATCTGGGGGATTATTTTAATTTATTTTTACACAATTTCATTTGAAATATTTTCAAGGTGAATACATCCTCTATTATTTGCATAATTGTGTAACTAACTTATTGTTTATGAATATCAGTGTTGTTTATTATCAATAAGTACTCAAAAGGGGTATGTTAAAAGATATAAAATGTAAATATGGTCAGGATTTTTTTTTCAGCAAGACATTGTTTGCCTCTTACCATAGATTTAAGGAAACATTGGCATTTCTTTGCGAACAAGGTGTCAATTTGATTGATCTAGATGCTTGGCCACCCAACAGCCCCGATGCTAATGTGGTTGATTACCATAAATGGTGCCATCTTGGGGAAATGGTTAAATCACAAGCATCCAAAAAACAGTATTGATGAGCTGAACACACAGAAACCAAAAGTGCTGAAATGAATTGCAACAGAAATCTGTCAATAAGGCTATTGAAAGATGGCGCTACCGCTTGAAGCTTATTGTCGAAATAGAGAGAGAGAGGGGGGGGGGCATATTGAGCAATTGCTAAAATTGTTATTAAGTGTAAAATGTTATTAACAAATACTTAAATTCATAAACAATAGGTTTAGTCACACAATGATGCAAATATAGTGGCATGTATTCATCTAACAAAATTATATTCTATAAATAGAAAATTAACATAATCCCAAAGATTAACTATTTTCTCCCTAGAAGCTAGAAACACAAAATAGCAACCCGTACTCCCAAATAAGTATAAAATACCTTTACTATTAATTGTATGACATAGTGTAATATACCAAATTGTTTGAAAATGTATTACCTTTAAAATGATATATAAGGCAATGTACCATATTGAACATAATCATTTTTATCCTGATTTGAAGTTGTGTATTGTTTTTTTTGGCAAACACTGTATATGCTTTAGAGGACTCACAAGAAGAACATACTACAATCATTCCGATCCAACCACGGACTTCAAACAAGGACGATGGAATTGACTGTTTGGATACCAAAGATGTCTCTTGCAAACCAATTACTTCAAGTGCATCCAAGCCAAAGCTCTCTACCACCACAGCTACGAACACAATAGTGATAAACAATGGCCTTAGCGCTGGGTTTTGCCGATGGTGGCGCTGCGATCGCATAAGCGCCTTGTGAGATTTTCAAATGGAGAGGGAAAAAACATCATCATAGCAACGAATCGCAATTTTTTTTAATCATGTAAATATGTAAAATTTTGTGCAATAAAATGCCTTCCAGGTGTGCAGTTTTAAACTGCAATGGTTCAGGTGGATTCAAATTCCCCCCTGAAGCACAGAAAGAGAGGAGAGAGAGGTGGATAAAGGCCACACGGCGTCAGTTTATGCCGTCATCATCCTCGGTGGTTTTTGAGAAACATTTTTCTGAAAGTGATTTTCTTCCCTCAGTTGCTGAATTACGTAAGTGTATATACACTCAGTTCATCTTAATTAAATGATCAATATGAAATAAGACATCCAAATGCATAAATTGGTCAATAAAATACGTTTTAATAAAGCAATATAGCAGTAGAATTTACATTTCATTTTCATTCATTTTTATTCCCTAGCCTAAGCTTAGGCTAGAAATCTGTAGTCTAGACAGGACTACCCGTCAAGCTAAAGTACATATCATTATAGTCTTTATAAAGGATTTCATAGATTAATAGCAAAAGACACGAAGCTTTGTAGGTACATCTATAACAGTCTAGGTTTACATTTAATTTTCAAATGACAATTCAATCGAGATCAACATGTAGGCTATGCTAATTTTTTTCTGTTGCAGATCAGAGAAAGATTCTTTGTAGTGGCATAGTCCCAACACTTAATCTGCCTCCAGGACGTGGTCGCAAACGAAGAATTACCACTCAAACTACATGTAGCAATGAAACTTCCGATGGTTTTGCAGTAACATTTTTTGATGATTTTGACTGTGTTGAGGAGACTGTATGTAACAATGATCCTTTGGATGGGGATGTCAACGACGTACCTCTGTTACCGCCTCCTACATGTACTTTTGATCCTATTATTACTATATCTGAACCTGAGGAAATGGTGAGCGAGGAAAATTTTTATAACTGTAATAACAATGTACAATTGCATGATTTTGATGATGATGAGGAGGAGGAATGTCTCCCAAGCAACATTTCTATCCCATTTTCCATTCATACTTTCCCCAGTGATGCCATTCAGTATTACACTGGCTTGGACAATAGAGATCACTTCATGCTTATTTATGATGTTCTAGGGTCTCAGTGAGACATATGGAGGCTCGGCCAGTGATCGCCAAATAGTGGAGCGCAGCTCACTTATCAATTCTAAATGTATGTTCAATCCCAAGGAATCTGTCATGGCAGACAGGGGATTAATTAAGATTTATTTGCGTCCCAAGGAGTTTTCATTAACACACCAACTATGTTAAAGGGGCAATCGCAGTTAAATCCTCAAGATGTTTCCAATGACAGAAAAATAGCATCAAAACGAATACACATTGAACGAATCATTGGACTTGGTAAATCATAGCAAAAGAGTTCTTGGTCACTGAATTGTATCGGTTTGTTTCAAACTTTCAAAATTTCGAACATCAATTGTAAATGAACTAGCCTAATAATGATATACAAGACAATGTATCATATTGAACATAATTATTTTTATCCTTATTTGAAGTTGGGTATTGATTTTTTTTGGCACACACTGTATATGCTTTAGAGGACTCACAAGAAGAACGTACTACAATCATTCCGATCCGACCACGGACTTCAAAGGAGGACGATGGAATTGACTGTTTGGATACCAAAGATGTCTCTTGCAAACCAATTAATTCAAGTGCACCCAAAAAAAAACTCTCTACCACCACAGCTACGAACACAATAGTTAAACAATTACTCTCAAGCACACTCAAGAAATAAGGACAATAACACACAATATGATGTTCAGGACTTCCTCCCTAAACCAATCACCAAACATGTTGATCTTGTGGCCACGGAGTTTCACGCTAATGACCCGAATGTCATCTTAGGCTTTCCTCAGATATCACCAACGGCTGGAAAACTCACGATATGGCGAATGTTTATACTGCTTTCGGCGTAAAGACACTCCAGACGTTCACGACCAAGAACAACGTACACATATTAGAAATGCTGAACCTGGCGAGAGAAGATCAACGACTCTGGGGAGAACAGTTTTCACATTGTCGCGGTTATTACCCAGTCACTTGTCAGGGCATCAACGCAGAGGACAGGAAGATCAGCACCCCTCAATGTCCAATGTCCAATTACCACCGTTAGCCTTTTATTCGAAGAGGCTTGTCCAGCACGTTCTGTCGAGGCAGCCAGGCGGCAACTGATGTCGGCCAGATCGGCTGTCACCCTCCTTGCTGACGAGCAATACTGCATCAGGACCAGGTATGTAGACCAATCTTACTTTAAACTAAATAACTTTTTACCGAAACGAAACTTGTAACGACTGTTCAAAGCAAGTTAATCATTTCAAAACTTCTTTCAGGTGTGAGGTCGAAGTTATTCTGAGCAGGGGGGGGATTTATGACCCAAATGCAGTTCCCAGTGTAGACAATGTACAGGCTTTGTTCAACTACTATTTTGAACATCTTACGTCTGCCTTTGACAATCTTATGGTAGAATTCCACGCTGCACCTCTGTGGTAATAACTGGAATGTTATCTCAATCATAAGTAAATTGTTTCTTTAATGAATGCAAGTTGTAATTTTAAATGATTTTATGTTTCCAGAAAGTTGGCCACTTCCATCCTGAAGCCAGTAGTAGTATTCCTGAAGAATTCCGTTGATTTTGGCATTCACTTGGTGAAGGACGCGTACATCCGTAACTTTTTCGATGGTTCACCTATACGTGTTCTACTCGTATATCCAGCCCTCAAGCTAGTTACCAAGCCTGGCAGTAACAACCGCCTACTAAGAGCAGCTAACTACAGTTTCCGTGAACCCTTGGACGCTTCCACCATACCAGTTCCAGAAGATGAAGACACATTGAAGGAGTTACTAACAGCCTTGTCCACAGCTCGGTGGGGAGAAATACTACATCCACTCTCTCCTTGGTATAAGTTATTGCACCTGGACAGGGCTTCTACAGAGAGACAATGGGAATTAGCTCGACTCATTATGCTTGGGGCTATCAGTGCAGTGTGCGACACAACCATTCACAGTTTCACGTTAGTACATACCATTTGCTAAGCCGTTATTTCTCACTGAAGATAATCTCGGATAAACAAATTATATATCAATAATTATTTCTTATAGCTAATTGTCCTAATTGTAGGACTATTCTAGCTGTTGAGAATTTAGACGATGATGATGATGCAAGTATACTATATGACACCAGCAATGCTGAGGAAGCTGCCATCTATCTGCAGGATTCCAATGACAGGTTAGCAATTAAGCCATGCTTATTTATAGCATGATACATATTTCTGTCCCTTGAGAAAGTTTATTCCACATTCACCCATTTTTAGCACCATTATCTTTATATCACAAATCGAATGTTACTAGGCAGGATTTGGACCAACAGGATTCAGATGATTGGGATCATTTTTATGCAGGTTTTAGATATGTTGAGCTAAAAAGTTTCCTTTCAGTGTTTCTATCATGATATTAAACTTTTAATATTATATCAACAATTGTTTATTTATGAAACATTAAGTTTCAGATGAATGGTATTGGCAAAGTTTTAGTCAGGAATTAACCCTGAAATTGAAAATGTAGATGTTTGCCTTTTTCAATTTTTCTTGAGGGGTCACAGTAATTTAAATTATCCAACAAAATAAGTCTCCCTCTTTGACAAATGAATTGTCAATTGCAGTTTTCTCACATATCCAATCAGCTTAAATAATATGAATTATTTTTCAGTTGGTGACCATTCCCAGAACATGGAAGGAACTCCTAAGTATCAACATCAACAGGAGTAACAGTTACAACACTTTACAGCAGTGATGATGTAACCATTGCTGAGCTTGATGCGATCAGAGATGGGAATGTAATCATATGCGCAGGCGATGAGCCATTCGTTGCAGGTAGTAAGGCAGGTAGTAAGGCAGTAAGGTGAAAGATGTTGTCCATGAAACCTTTGCTTTTTGCCCATGTGACCCCAGTACCCACGGTACTATTTTTATTATTTATTTACCCAAAATCCTCATTTGTATCCACACTGAGTTTTGTTTTAGCTCACATGGGTAAGCTATTGTTATCGCCCACTTGTCAGTCAAAAAGACAATTGCTAAAAATGAATGGATACAGATAAAATACAAAAAGCCAAAAAATCAAATATTAAAGATATGGACAGAGTTCTAAGACTAATAAGGAAATGAGAAAAACAACAAGAACGAACAGAATCTAGATATCAGTCTCTACGAAATGAGGGTAAACTATAGAAGAAAATCAGCAACAAAAACAAACATCGAGAAAGACAAAGGGGAAGGGGAGTGTTACTGGTAGAAAAAGCTTTAACCCACCGATGTGTAGTCACAAGTCTGCAGACCAGACACCAAACAAGACAAAAGAAGAAAAGTAATAGGGAGACAGAAGACCAAGAAAGAAGAAACTAAAGAAGACAAGAAAGTAACAACAGAAAAAAGAAGAAACTAAGAAGACGAAGAGTGAAGGGAAAAGACAAATAAAATCAGAATAAGAGGGAATCAACAGCAACAACAAATAGATTTTCAAGCTGGACTGAATGATGATGACATGAACAGCATATAAACAAGAAGTCCATCCGAATTATATCAGTTTGCTGTAGACAAGCCACAAAAATGATGATACTCACAAATAGAAGATCCTAAACTTAACCCATAAAATGTGAAATTGATTTATAAAAATAAAAATCTCTCTGAGATGTATGACAATTTCGGATTGTCAGCAGTGCATTAAATAATCAACAATAACGCATTTGTTGTGTATTATTACCAAGGCGAGGAGATGTTTTGCCAATACACGACCCTTGCAAAAAGTGATTTTGTATCTTTAGATGATTTTATAGAAAATATTTTATTTTCACACATTGTACAATGTGTGCAAATAATTTCAACCCAAGACTGTATCTATTGTAGCTGCTTCATTTCACTCAGGCATTGTTTCCTTAACTTTGCACTCCCACTGCACGGTCATGAAAAGATTTGGAAAGAACACTTTCAGGATATGATTCAGCAAACAGTGCACCTTTAATCCTTAAATATCCTTGTTGAGGCTATATGAACCTGGAGTTTCTCGAGAATCTTGGTGTTCATATTGTTGATTTCACTATCTAGGCCAGTTTCATGCCCGGTTATCGTTAAAATGGGATGGAGGGGGTAGCAACCAAAACCAAAAATTGGGCCTAAAACTTGGAAAATTTAAGGCCAATTTTTGGGATAATTTGGACTAAAATGAAAAAATAAGGCCCTAAAACGCCAAGTAATACCCAAAAAGCCAACTAATGAGGCACTACAAACCCAAAACTGGGCCAAGATTTTGAAAATTTAAAGCCAATTTTTTAGATAATGTGGACTAAAATGAAAAAATAAGACCCTTACAGGCCAAGTATTTTGGGAAAATGAGGCCCAGAAATATTATTGTTCTGGAAGTGCACTGCATGAACTGAAACAAGAAACTAAAAAACATTCATATTGATATGAGGACAACTTTGCTTGTTGATCCTTATTTAATCCTTATATTTTTTGATCCTCTGTAAAATCAATAATCTCTGAATGTCTGAAATGTTTACTTTCAGTGCAAGTTTTTGATCTGGAACTGGTCAGAAAGAGACAGTTACCAGAAACATTCCAATGAGTCACCCAAGGGTTCACAGTGCCAGAGGTGAGATACTTTTCTTAGGACATGTGAAATGTCATTATGACGTAAGATACAAAATTACTCTATCCTTTGTAGACATTGATGAATCTGGACTATTAGTCCAGGTGATCTCCACAGTAACCTTGGTTACAAAAATGCAACTACAGGGTGTCCCAGAAGTAATGATAATTATGCTCTAACATTTTTATTTGACAAGGAAACAATATGAAATTCACACAAATTAAAGATCAAGATGTAAGCTTCAATTTGCTATATAATATTCATTACTTTACAGAAAAGTAGTCCATGTGTGGTTGCCATATCAACCCGTATACAATCTGTAGCAGCTTAGAATCATTTCAAGATGTCCTTAGCTTGGCTAGTACAATTGCAAGTAGCTGCAATATACCAATAAACAGGTCATTCTCTATCTTGGGAAATGCCAAACAGATACTTACAGTGGAGCTCCTGAAATCATTTTTTCAACAGTGATACAGGTGAGTAGTTCCCCACATTGATGATATGGGACAAATTGATGATGTGGGATTTGAAGTCTTCTGGATGGTGATGGGCTAGTACAAATGCAAGTAGCTGCAATATACCAATAAACAGGTCATTCTCTATCTTGGGGAAATGCCAAACAGATACTTACAGTGGAGCTCCTGAAATCATTTTTTCAACAGTGATATAGGTGAGTAGTTCCGTACAAATTGATGATGTGGGACAAATTGACGATGTGGGATTTGTGGTCTTCTTGGTGGTATGTGGTGGTAAAAATCGACTTAAATGATATTCATAAATATATAATACTTCAAGCAAGTATTCCATCTGAACCTTATAATTTCCAGAAATAATAAACATGGGGTATATTCACAAAAATTTGCCTTCATGTCCAGACATAAGTTTTAAAGGTGGCTAAAGTTTCATTATCATGCCACGATACATGTTTCTACAGGAATCAAGCAGACTATGATGCTTGCTGGATGACTGGGGATAATTGCCATAATCTCCATAAATTTCAAACAAAACTAAAGATCCCAGTGGTTAAAGGGAGAGGATTCATAGGATCACACTGCGTGGATAAGCCAAAATGAAGGCAAATATCAATAATGCAAACACTTGCATAGTGCAATTATACACGATAACACTCAATAATGCATGATTTGAATATTTGGATTATGCCAAGTAGGTGAGAATGCATCAATCTACACATACAATGCTTGTTTATGCATGTTGCATCTGTTGATGCATGTCACATAACTAAACACTTGCCATTGCAAGTATATACCATACATGGCTGATACATAATAAAATGGGCAATTGTAGGTTTATATTTTTGAGATATGCTAAAGCTTGCATTGATCTATGATTGCTGTATAACCAAATATCCGGAAATACAAGCATGAGAGTCTGTATGTATTTGATAGCACGATTGACTCGTTCATTTCTTCTTGAGAATGTGGAAAGTGGCGAAAATGACAAAACAATGTATGTTCATAAACTGAGAAACGAATGTGTTAACAATCTAAAAATAACCAGCATACCAAATGCTGAGGAAGTTCTGACAAAAAGTTTCTTTGGCGATTAACAAATAAATTGTTTCCTGAAGTAAGGCGCACAAACATTAATTCACAAGGTCAGCCAACTCACATATATTTCTAGAAAGATGTCGTTGACATGTTACAGCTGTTGACAGATGGGGAAAACATTACAAAACAAGCTTGACGAGCTCAATAAGGAAAACAAACATTTAAAATGCGCAAATAAAAGATTGAACATAGCATTGACCAACTCAGAACGCCAAATAGCTGCAAATACAGAAACGCAAAATGAAATTGATCATCTCCGAAAGACTCTTTGAATAACACAAAACAAATATACCAGCCTTCTTGTCAAAAGAAATGGTGCACAAAACAGCTAGGCAAAGCTTTGGATAAAAATGAAATAATGGCATCATCAACATGGCTAGAAACCCCAGCATCCAAAGTAAACGGGAAAGAATATGAGAATGGGGTCACTATCAGAGAGGGTGGATTTGGAAAAGTAATGCTAGTGACACGAGTAAAGGACAACAAAAAGTATACCCTAAAAGAATTCAAACCTAGCCTGGGAGATATTGAAAAGGAAATAAGAGTTCTTGTTATTTTAAAAATACATCCGTTCATCCAGCATCTTCATGGGTCTGACTTAACGGAATATCCCATTCTAACACATTGCACTCCCTGGCAATGTATCAACCTCAATGGCTCAGGTTATAAGCGATCCCAAGAAGTACTCATTAACACATTCTGACTATATATTACAATTCGTTGGTCTTTTGGATGCTGTAAACTACGTCCATTCCAATGGACTTCTTCACAACGATATAAAGTAAACGACTTTTGAGTGAGCACCAAAGAAAGAGGAGTATTGATTGACTTCGGCATGGCGACTACCCATTCTATGCTGAATTGTCTAAAAACGCCATCAAAGAGGTATTGGCTAGCCCCTGAGATCAGAAAGATGGAACCATCCTCAACTAGTAGCGACGTATTCTAAGTCTGTGTGTTTCATGAAAACTGTTTATGATGCCACAGTGATGACAAAGGTTCAGAATCAAGGGGTGTGGTGGTGCAGTGACAAAATTCATTTTTGACTGTTTTGAGTATATTTAACCATAATGATTATCTTAATTTATCAATGAAATTGTGAACATGTGAAAATGAACTTTAAAATGTTATGAACATTTTTTGGACATTAGTTAAACAGATTTGAACCTTAGATATTCTGTGGGAGGTTCAGACTCAGACACAAAATTGGAGCAATGGCAAGAAGCTATTATTGAAGTGACAAAACAAATCCAGTCCCTTACTACCATGACCACAAGTTTGAAATCGGACATGGAGACAATAGCCATTGATGTGGCAATCCTAAAATCTAATTTAGCAGAACAATCAGCAACAAGTGCTCAAATGCCATCAAACTCAACTGGTGACAATATGTCTTCTTCAGTAGATGACAATGTGGTGTCTCCTAAAGTCGGTACTGTTAGCAGTTATCTAACATTTATTTTATAATGGCTATTGCAAGAACTCAACGTTGGGCTTACAACGGAGAAAACCGCATTTTTGTAGATGCAAATTGAGAAAAGCTATTTCAGTTGTCCTCTAAGGCACAAAGCCAGTTGTAGATGTAATGAGTTCTGATGATGACTATGACGTTGCATGGGATAGTGGTGACATTGTGTCCTTTTTCTTGGGAGTATTTTCACTTCTGGCCACTGGATCCACACTGTGTACATATAATAATCATCAAATCGAATAGGTTATCTGTATGAGTACGAGATCTATTTCATAGTAAAAAAATTGCATGTTAAACATGACTTGCACAACCTGTTATAACTACGGTATCTGATAATTTTCATAAAATAATAAGATTTTAGATACGTCAGTAATAAGCTAATTTCAATTGTTATTTTAGTACACTATCTTTATAAATGATTGTTTTTATATTTTCAGTGTTTGTATTCAAGCTCGAAATGAGAGTTGAGCGAATCAACGGGGATGGTTGGACCTTGGTTGGTTTGTGGGTAGGTAACCGCTTGGGGTGCCAGAAGTGATGATTCTTAAGGGTCAAGACTTCATAATGACATCGGTACAATGGAAGATGTCTTACTAGGAGACCATCATTATCAGAATTTGACATCTCTTCGTTGAGATTTGATGAAGAGGGCTCGGTTACCATTCAAAAGGGATCAGTGGCAGCTTTGTAATTGCATTGTATATGTATTCTTATAGCTGGCCAAGTTAATAAAGGATCATGTAAATAAACTCTATATTTTGTTAACCTAATATTGTATTAAATACACATGTATCATGCAATGTAATAAGCAGGTAAATAGGTGGTCAATGTAGAAAACAGGTAAAAAGGTAGTCGAAATCCAGAGTTACAAAAGAAATTCAGAATTAAATTTTACTATAAAAGAGAAAAGCATAAGTGTATAATCACTTTAAATTTTGACATGGATGAGGATTTTAGATGTTATATTAGTCAGTTGTTTTTAGACCCTGCATTTAAGGGTAGCTTTACATCCCCATCTAAATTTCACAAAAGTCCATAACATTAGAAGTGGGGAGGGATTTTTGATTTTTGAATGGTGTTGAATCTTACACAATGTATAAGCCTGTCAAGAAAGGTTTAAAAGAAGCTCAGTTGAAATAATAGGAATTCATTATATGATGGATTATAGCAAATTAAAATCAGACAATGATTGTTTATGTTGTTTTCTTTCATAGAAGAAAGAGGGTAGGAAAAAAAAAAAAGCTTAGTCAAGATAAAAATGACATGGAACAATGCCTTACTATGTGTGACAGACATTCATGGAGCGGAAATATGTGTGTCAAGAGACGTAGCCGTCATAATTATGCATCTGTATCTTCTTAGTATTTATTAACACATAAAGATGACGGCTACACATGATTCTATTATGCTGTATGGGAGTTTGTAAATATTGGGGAGTGCTCTACCCTTCCAGGATGTATAACAAAAAATCCTGATTTCCATGGACTCTGCATCAATAGGTGGATTTTGAAAAGTGCCTGGAAAACCTACCGTAAACAGTAAAACCAGTCATTCAATTGGGAACTGTCCAGGCGCTTGCGTCACATTGGTTATAGACACCTTGCCTCAGCTGGGTTGGGTGTTCTTGGTCGGCAAGTAAGGGTCCCCCTACCATCATGTGCAGTGTTTTGCATCAGAGCTCACCATCCACCTCCAGAAGAATTTGAGGAGATATATGAGTTCGTAGGATTCAGGGATGCCTTAACCCTGCCTTAACAAGGGCAGAGACAACTGCCTCAAAATACATCACAGTCTTTTTCAAGAATGGCAGTAAAAACTGCCTCAAAAAAACACTATTACTTACAAGAAAGAGTCAGAATTATGATTTTTTCTTAATAACCTGAAACTTATTGATACAGAAAAATTGAATTATTGGTAAGGAATTTTCTATCAGCTGATTATGCTAATTATAAGCAAAAGTTCACCGACAAAATAATACTGGCACCATTAGCAAGGCCAAACAACATCCACTTTTCTAATGGGGACTATAAAATATAACTAGGTCAATAATAATGACAGCACAACCATTTCCTAAATATTCAATATTGTCTGCTCTTTATTAATTTTTTACTTCATTAGTCAGATCAGTGGCACAATATTGCTACTATATTTCCAATTCGTGAACTTTGGTTATTTTAAGTTTTTCTCACCTTATAGCTGTTTACATTTGTTGAAATTCTCAGAGACCTATTGTCTTAACCTAGGAAAACACAGTTTAACCCACCAGCCCAAAAAGAAAGAACCGGTATGGGAGTCAAGACGTCTGTGGCACCCATGACCAACTCCATCTGCCAGACCAAGGCAGTCAATGTGCTGCCCTTAGAAAGCCAGTGACCAAGGGATCCCAGACTACTATGACCTCCATGACCAACTCAGCCTGCCAAACCCTTAAGAAGCCAGCCGTTATACGAACCACCAGGGGAACCCAGACTGCTGTGGCACACATAACTCCCTCTGCCTCCCAGACAAAAGAACAAGCCAAGTCCAAGACCGAATTATCGAAGCTGTTCTCCAAGCCACCAACCACAAAAGGAGAAGGATCCGGGATTAAGCTAGTTGTTACCAAGGAGACCCTTGCTGATGTGATCGCCAGAATGTGGCCAACAGGAGAGCAGTATCTCCCTTTCGACTACAGTCTCAAGAAAAAATGACATTGTTTTACTTACAAAAGGACTATTTTACTTTTGGATTTATATGAACTTCTACACGAACATGTAACATAGTCATTATACATATACAACATACAACTTTCAATTAATCAATGTTTGGGACAAACATAAATTTAAGGGGGGATATTGTAAAAATCCAGGATTTTTAACTCAGAAATTATTTTGGTTACTTTAAGTTTTTCTCACCTTATAGCTGTTTACATTTGTTGAAATTCTCAGAGACGTATTGTCTTAACTTCCGATTGTATGTTATATATATTATGAATGTTTATATGTCCTTGTTGATTTATTACAGATATTGAAATAATTTTGAAACTTTTCTGTGCCATGGCGGCCATACCCGAAGTTGCAAACTACTCTTGAACACCATTTTATATTTTTATGTTTTTCATCTCTATGATGCCTTAATTGTTTTTATATGTATTTTGAACATATTGTATAATGTTTTTATAGATTTTGTAACCTTTTTTGGGTTTTATGTACAGTCCATGCAAGGTTAGCCACGTAAGTTTTTAAATTAGAATTGGTTCGAGGTTACCAATTCCTTCTGCTTGCAGGCTCTAGAAACGTGCAGCTCTTTTTAATATCTCCCGATAGTTTGGCAATTTATTTTACACATAACCTTTTATTCGTGGAAGTAGTCCATCGTTAAAGATAACATGGACCAACGGAAAGAAAGGAAAACCCAGGTAGCAATTTTTGCCCTCTTTTTTCCTTAAATTTGTTAACTTTTGTGTTTAATTCACGCTAATTGATTAAGTTTTTAAAGATATTTTTAAAGGTTGATATATTTACTGTTGCACACAATTTTATGGTTACAGTTCCATGTTATGAATAAAAATGCAATATGTGTATGTGCAGCACACTTTAGGCAAAGCTTTTGAAGGAAGAATAACTATTTTTAAGATTATCCATGCATGGTGGTACACGTGCACCATTGTTCAAAATTAAAATATCAATGTTTTAGGCTTTATACACTAAAGTTTGGGGATAATTCTCTTATTTATATTTGGCAATTGACAGTGTTTATAGTTTGATATATTTACCAATTTTGGCCTAATTATGATACCTTCAACCTTATTGAGTAAACAGGGTTTATTCCACGTGGGTTGTGTGGCGGCCATTATGGCGGTAATTATTTCATAATTTTTTGGTTAGTATATTTTCAAGGAACATCTTTAAGATACCCAGCGTAAATTAATTGTTGGTCCCAATTTATTACTCCAGTATTGATTATTAGACATGATTTAACGTAGAGTAGTAAAGTGCGTTCATATCGACCCACAAGAACAATTCATTGAGATAAACCATAACCAATGCAACAGAATTTCATCATAGCCATGGAGATAAACCATGATTTCACATGCCTAGTTAACCACGTGTAATTGAATTCCATTGATCACATTGACTGTTTCTATTGATAATTTTAAAATTCAACATTTATATACTATTAATTTGGCTCAATACTTTGTGAGGTACCTTTGTCATGGAATACCACAACATGAACATAAATCATGATCACTTAAGATTTGCTATAATCATGGAGTCGAACCATGACCAAAGCATATAAATTCTACTAGAAACATGGAGATGAATCATGCTACCACGTGGAACTTCAGTTCAATCCATTGTGGGCAAAAGTTGGGGTTTACTGTGATTTGTCTACCATGTTATATCTTTAGGGTTTATACCAGAGTTCCGAATTAACGTTCGCCACTCTCAATTTGCGAATAATTGGTGAAGGGTTGCGAACATTTTTACAAAATAAGTCGCAAGTTTGGCGAATAAATCCTACCGTGAGCACAGATCCATTAGTGGTAAACTTACCAATAGCTGCCGAAAGTTTCCCGGTAATCCATTCCTTCTATCTATCTCAAAAATGCTTTTATGTCGGGATAAAATATTTTAAAGTTTTTCAATATTTACTTCCGTCCTGTGCTGATGACACGACTAGTAAAAGATTCCCGCAATGGGAAATTTTACATAGGTACGGTTCAATTGTATAAAAATATTGGACGTGTCATCAATTCACTTCGGTCCTAGTGGAAATGGAAAAAATGTGAAAAAATATAAAAAGTGAGAGATAATGCAGTCAGTGGCAAAGAAACGCAAGTTTAGAGTGTTACGGGAGACCATGGTTGAAGTGTCAGGACATGTAGTTCAAGTAAAAACAGTACATGATATTGAAATGAATTTCTAAGTGTTGTTTCAAAATAATTTCAGAAATGCACTGATTTTGGTGTAAAAAATTGGTTGTTCAGAAATATCTTTTTAGAAATCTTGAAGAAATACAAGATAAAAACCTTGAAATCAAAGCTTCAAAATGAACCACAGAAATGCTCAGAATGCACCAATTTATTATTTGTTAGTTGTTTTGGCGAATGTCAAGGAAGGCCACATGGAGTCAAACCGTGTGTACATGTTAAATATATTCTTGACACAGGTAGCCATTATTTTGGAAGCATCAAAGCCCCATATTTCATCATATGGAGAAACATAGATAGATTCACATTTAATCAAAACTAGTTAAATAGTAGAAACTAAGCCGTTCCAATATAATTCTGTGACTGTTCTAAAGAGACAAATGAATGAAGTAAGATAATCATGATTACTGGAAAGGTTCCGAAGCTTATACAGGATTTAAACTTTTAGTTTGTCCTAGCAAGTTCCACTGAATCATCAGTAGCATTCCCGTTGTAGAGTCATACATTGAACATTTTGTTTTGTGGGAAATTTAGTAACGATGACCTTTATTAAACCACATAGAAAGTTGATTATCGATTATTTATCAGCTAAACTTATTTTTGAAACTCTAATATAGGCAGGTAAACAAAAGATGCAATATAATTAAGGGTAATCAGTATCAGTATTACGCAATTTTGACATCATGGCTTCTTGGCATGAATAGTTATTTTTATACACCTATTTTATACGTTCTAATAAACAGTAGTATATAGATATATTAAGTAAAATCCATTGTGTTGTTTAGTTTTTGGTGTACATTAAAGGGACCATCACTGTGATGACTCACACCCCAACATTAATTAACTTTTAACTAAAGAACCAGCATAAACACACAGCATTCACCCATCATTACAGATTGCATCATATGATTTTACCATCCCCACATGGTCATTTGGCTAGAAGTGAAGTTTCTTTTGAATCAGTTGGCTATCTTCTTTTGCGATTGCAAAGACGAAAGTTTCATACTCAGCAGTTTGAGAAACAAGTAACCTGGCTTCTTTTGTTTAAAAGATGACGCTGTAGACAGGTTATTTACAAAATTAAATGCCCCAAAATCAAAATATAGTAGCAAGCGAACAGTATGGTTCCCTCCAAATCAATCTTTTATATCCATTAACATGAATAAAGAACAACAATTGAACTTGTCAGGCTTGTTACATTTGCTGAATCCTGAAAGCTGGGTTCAGAATACCTTTTTTGTAACAAAAATCAGTTCACAACAATGAAAATGCAGGTGACTGAGAAAAGTCAGATCGATCAATCATACATTTTAAATGTATATCATATGATTTTTACCACTTCATGCATGGTCATCAATACTAGTATTCGGCAAGTAGTACTATTAAGGCTCCTTTTGTGTTCAGTTTTGAAAAATATTTTGATGGTCAATGGCGAACTCAATCAATTCCAAAACGAGGCTGAAACCCGCTCCCATCGATGATGTATTTAGATTTCAGAGGTCAACAGGTGCTTTGGTCAACTGATGGCAGGTGCCTATTTCGTTCATTAGATCGAGGCCAAAAAATGTTTATGGGAATGCAGAGACCATAGGGGCTGATTTCATGAGACAACGTGTAGTAGATCAGTACTATTACATCAAGGATGAGTTGCTTACTATGAAATCTGAATTTGGGGCCATTCACACGATATGAATTCACATGGATACTGAATGCCCATGTTATTTTAACTGTATTAGTAAAATCGAATCTCTATCAGATTTAGTGCACACTCCGGAGTTTCAGATTATAAAAATGAAGTTTGCCTTTAAAATGCAGCAACAGAAGTCAGAAACATCTGGGAAAAAGCCCAGGAAGGACGATTTTCGCACAAGAGATTAGTGACTGACAGCCTAGTCAAGCTGTATACAGGATTGCCTATATTAATACCTGAGAGGTAACATGCACTATGTTGCTGGCTAATGTCAAAACCATTACCACATGGAAAGGGCCATCAAAAACTGTCTCAAGGAAAAAACTTTCCTTCGCATCACCTAAGAAATCAGGCCCTAAACGGAAACTGCCCCCTATGGATGAATTTCTCATCTTATGTATGAAGATGCGACTTTGGTTATTAAATGTTCACCTTGCTCATCTTTTTGGCATTTCAAGTCTCTGGTGAGCAGGATTCTCCAAACCTGGTCAAAGTATGTCGCTGGCCAAGTTGCTTGGATGATTTTCAACCAGACACTGACATGTTCAAGTCAAATCTACTAGCTTCCATGACTATGAGAATGTATGCTCCACACCTGATTGCACCATAGTTTTTATGGAAACACCAAAGTTTCGAAGCCTAAAGTAGAACACAGTCAAAGTAAAAACACCACAATACAGCAAAATCACTTGTGTCCATAACTCCAGCTGGCCAGTTTAATTATGTGTCAAAGGCATATCGTGGCCGTGCATCAGATAGGTGTATATGCCAGAATAGTGAATACTATGAAAAGTGTGTGAAACCAGGAAAAACTGTTTTGGCAGATAAGGGATTCCTAATAAATGATGACCTGATGGTCAGGGGAAGTAGATTTGTGATACCTCCAGGATTGAGAGGGACTCCGATGACAGAGTCCAAATGCATAAAAACTAAGCAAATCGCAAACAGAAGAATCTACGTTGAGCACCCATTTCAATAATAAAGGTTTGCGGCCTTATAGGAAGGCAGTGAAAGATGCTATATTTTACGGGTATATAAATCGCTTCAAATGTTTTTTAGTATGAGGAGTGAGTGCTCACTTCACATTAGTTATAGCCAAGTTAGTGTGTTACAAATGACACTGACTGTGACTTATTCCTAGCAGGATTAGGTCAATCTAGTTTACAGTATTGTTTCACATAGGTTGCATTCTAACAATGCCCCTGTGCTTGAGAGTCAAGTTAGCCAGGCGAAATTGACACTTAGGCCAATCACCTTTATAATAGAGATAAGTATTATTTTCTATCAGACATTTTGACATTCAGGAATTATTTAGGCTATTTTCGCTATATAATATACCTAGGGCATTATGTCAAAACTAGTAACATGAGAAATGCTTAGCAATGGGAATATAGGGTTGGCTTAATCGAAAGGTGGACCCTTCCTGTGGTAGAGATACAGGCGGTATCCTCGGCTCAAGGAGTCACATCCATAATTAGAATGAGAGGGGAAGCTTTTCAGAGGCCATCCGTGGACACTTGGCATGATGCATGGTTTAAGGCCAGGGTGCATGTTGGGAAATTTTCTGCATTCCTCAATTGAGTCAAATGTTATTTTTCAAACAAGAATCACTCCTTCCTCACAATATGTACATCTTCCAGTTTTGTGTGCACGTATATACCTAGAAAAGACTTGTGAGAAGATTTGTTTTGTAAAATGTATAATAAAAACAAGAAAATTCAGTTAAAATTTGGGATTGATAATTATTTGTTTAAAGTCAGTTTCATGGTAAAAAAGCAAGAAATTAACTTCGACATAAGTGTTACCTGATGAATGGGACCCTCACGTGCCTTCCAAATGGTAGTAAACGAACTCCAGTGTAACTACATCAGCCTTTATTTCTGTCCGATCAACAATAAGTAGTTATACAAGAAATGTAAACAAACTGAAAATATTCCCAAAAATTTTCCGAAAGGCATGTCATTTCCGGAAGTTATGATATGTTATATTACCGAACATGTGTGAAAATGGAATGTTTGTTCGATGCTCTAATGTTCGCATTTTATTTAGCTCTCATTAACTGAACGAACAAACATTCCATTTTCGTATTCATATCATGAACATTCAATTGTATTTAATAATTTCAGGTGATGGCGGAATCACAACAGATTCCAGTGTGACCCTTGCAGAGATTGAGATGTGGAGGGTTGGCTCCCTAAAACAGTATCTGGCTGATCGAGGCTTGGTCAAGACTGGTACTATAGGAGAACCGTGTGCCTGTGTATTCAGTTGCATAGAAGTGAAGTCCGCAGTGGAACACAATAAACAACTGGTGCGCGACTACAGAGATTTACTGAATGTCGAAGGAAAAGTAATTTCTGATCCCAATAACATTCCATCAAAACTATGGCGTACTGAAGAGGAATCAATGGCAGATTGGCCCCATGTCCTAATTTCAGACATTAAAGAGTTCTATGATGGACTATCCAGTGATGGTGTAGAGCTTTCAAAGCGCCTTCTTTGCGAATACAAAGAGAACAAAGCTTACAGATACTACTCCAGTGGATGAATTGGTGAGATCAAGTTTTATAATATCCCAGACACAACATTGACCTTATATAAGGTCAAAGTGACACCATCGCAACGCTTATCCAATCCTGAGCATGAGGCGTGGGCATGTATATCGCAAGAAGGTGGGATAAAGTCTGCATATTGTTCATGCGTTGCAGGCTTTATCCAAACCTGCAACCATGTCTATGGCATGCTATTTAAAATCAAGGCCATCATGAAGGTTCGTATTACATGTACCTCCAAGCCATGTGAATGGACCCAACCAAAGACCAAAAATGGCCTTCCAAAGATGATTCAGGACATTAACTTCGTCAAAAAATCATTTGGCAAAGAACCAACCAGAAAACTGATGTGACGACCGGCCATCAAAAGGTGGTAAACCCTTGGTCTTTTCCGATCGCCGGGCGTCAGATTATCCCTTCCGATTGTATATTGTATTAGTTAGAGTTAGTCTAGTGTATATATTTACCTTGTACATGTATTTTGAGAATTTCCAGTAACTTTCATATTTTCCTTTGGGTTTTGTTTATACGGCCATATTGAAAATGGCGGAATCAAGTATTTTACTTTTCCAGTATTTTCATTATGGCCTTTACAGTATTTCACTTATTAAGTCAATATTTTGTATTATTGTATCATTTGTATTTTGTATGGCAATATATTGCCGATAAGCATGTACTTTTCAAGTCAATTAGTATTTGTTTTATTTTGTAATTTTGTTTAACCGTTTCCTGAATTAAGTTTGGCATTACAACCCCTGTATTCTCACAGTGGCACATTCAGTGCGGGTGCGCACGCACTTTTATTACTCTTAACTCGGCCTTTGAATAGGCGATTAGTCTTAGTCTGGAGTGTAGTACCCTAGCAGTCATTAGATTTAGATTATCCCCCAGGATCAAAGGGATGATTCCTAGATAATCTTTAGTTAGAAGAATCATCTCTTTGTTTGGTGTCTGGTCCCAGGGCCAGGTGTCACACTAGATTGGAAAAAGTGGTATATCTGTCTGATTTTGTTGAAGCCATTACTCTTTTTCGTCAAGACCTGGAACTGTCAACATCAGCTGCAACTTTTGGACTGTCATTCTGAATCACTTGAACTTTTATCTTAAATTATAACTTGGAAATTTTAAACAGTATTTTACTTGGGAACAACACTTTGGAAATCGCTTTATACGTACATTACTTTTGGATATTCTAGACTATGGCTTCAACAAGGACACCTGTAGACGAGCAATGAGTAAGCCACTTTTAATTAATCTAGTGCCTGACTTTTAACTTGTATCATATTGTATTTGTGTTAAGAATGATGTAATTATATTTGAACGTTGACAAATAGATCTGTTAAATCTTACTTGATTTGTCTATTGATTTATTACTATATAGTTTTATACAGTTGTGTTTATCAGTACACTTCATATCCATTCAACTTTAACCCCCATTCAACTTCCACGCTGCCATTTGTTTAAATTCACCTTTTCCATTCTATTTTACACATTTCCACACTACCATTTATTGTTGTTGTTATCTATTTCATTTGCCCCCACATTCATTTACCTGTCACGCTACCAATTGTAATTTTGTATTTTCCCCCATCCACTGAGGACCTTTGATTTTGTTTAAGTTAAACTCGTTCCTTTGATTGTTATTGTTTTATTATTACCCGAGACCGTCACACTGATATCTGCAAAGAGACTTTTTACACTAGCACCAGAGATCGATGAGGAGGATCTGAGAAATCAGTTTGCAGATAACTGGAGTTGGCCGTGCCAAATGCTGTTTTGTTCACAGAAAAAACAAAACTTCCTGAGCCTGCACTCCAGAATGACAGCCCATCACATGCCCCTACCCTTGACCCTGTAAAAAACCCGGTAGTAGATATCAGTCAAATATCAGTTATGTTTCAGACAATTACTTACGTTTTCTTTAGCAAATGCTCTACATCTTTCTGTTTACTTTGTTTATATGTATATTTTTGCTGCTGTAATTCGAGCTGTAACTCTCTATTTAGCTCGTAAACTTCACTTGATTTTCTTAACTGAAATTTTGCAGAACTTTTAATGGCACCCATGTTTTCTTCATGACAAGAAATGTTTTGACTAACTTTAAAATGTAGAAAACAATTATTTGATTTGAGTTGAGTATTCAAGTATATATATTTTATGCAACCTTTTATAGTATTTTTGATAAATATTTTGTCTATATTTTTGTACTAATTTCAGATATTTTATGAACTTATTAAATGTACACAGTGGTCTGTCATGGAAAAGCAATTAATCATTGCTATCTTGGATTGGTTGAGAAAACACCCCAAAGTTAGTGCTGATACTACAATTTGTATTTAAACACTTTCGAAGTCTATTTTTGGATTTAATTCCAAGGAAATAAGGAAAAGGGAATCCTTATGGAAGCACAGAAGGTAAATATGTAAAACAAAGCCTGCTGTTCTTTGGTTTATTGGAGGAAAACAAGAAATCCAGAAACAGTGACCTACATTCTGGTAGGTTAACACCCTAAATTCCTCTCCCAAACCTTTACTCAAATATGAAATGAAATGATGACAGTATAGTACTCTTGAAGAACTTATATCTTTCATAACACATATTATACAGCACACTATAACTAGGTGTACACAGCCAAAAGTGTGTAGATGTGCCAAATACCATAGTATACTTTCTAGTCAAAAATTTACCCCAATAAATTCACTTGCCTTGATTGACCGATGAAATTAACTTTCCAGAAATTCCTAAGTGCTTGCTTTAATTAGCCGTCACTTATCCCCAAGGTGATTCCTTACCTTAATTGTGTCGGGAACAGTTAGATTTTTCATTCCACTTTTCAATTACAGTTTGTTTATGTAAATCTGAATTAAAACACTGCAGACCACTGTTCTTTACAGAAAAGTATATATTTAATCATATTATATATCTTTTATACCTGAGTAAGCCATAAAAGTAAAGATGAAAAAAGAAGATGTTCAAAGGGAGGGATGAAGGTTGTACATGTAAACCGACGGCAAGGTACCAGAGTGGATTGAAAACCTGAATATTCCAAGTCCAAATATACAAAAAGAGCCATTTGAAAGTAACACTGACAATTCTGTTCAAGATGAAATATTAAATGAATTTGATCCCAAAAATAAACCAAATAAAAGACTTCGTTAAACTCCTGCCTGGCTCAAAGATTATGATCTTAGTTAAGATATTGTTATCTCTTTTCAGGAGTTTCACGTGTGTGGAACGGTGGTTGATGGGAAGCCTTGTGGCAAACATCGCTGTACCTTGCAAGACTTCGTTCTGCACCACAAGAGCTTCCACAGAGCTACTATTGTCGAAGAATCTGAAGCCTATAGTCCACGGGTGGGTCCTGCTGGGTATCCACAATGATTCCAGTGTAACAGAACCTTCTCGGATAAGCGTAGCCTAAACTTACACATAAAAAGCATTCACAAGACATTTGTATCTAAAAAGCAGATGTCTCGTCCCAGAGTCTGGGATAGCTCATTTAAAATCCCAAGCCTTCTTGGACTCAATATTTCCAGGAGAGAGCAATTTGCGAAGATGGCTAAAATGTCCCATAGAAAAATCATTCTCTGAAGCACTCTCATCCATGGATGTCATATCTCCTAAAATGCCAAAAATATCTTCTCAGGACAGTACAAATTTTGTGAGTGAATAAACTCAACTGCCTCATTCACAATCATAAAGTTCTCAATTTATACATCTTATATTCCAAAGATCACAGTATTTTTATACTATTGTATTGTCTTACATATTGAAGGAAAAAATTATATATTTTATATTTTTATACTATAACAAATAAAGGAGATATATAATTAGGTAACTGAAAATATTTGTCTGTTTTTCATTGTTGAATTGGACTAGGAAAAAGTGACATTATAAAAATATTGCCCACACAAGTAAACTAACACCCAAATTATTACCATCTATAATACACTTCACACAAGGTCTCCGCAGGTTTGTTTCAATCCCCAACCAGATCATCACCCATCAATTATGGATTATACTAGGAAATTTTCAAAAGAACATTCTTGCCAATCAATAGAAGAGAAAAGAGCACAATTTGAAATTCCACCTCTGAGCTATGATGATGTGAAGAAAATAGAGACTTTGACACAAACGCAAAGTAAGCCCTGGTCTACAGAAAGAGAATGATTACGTGATGACCGGGGGTCCATTTGATATGATAATGCGTCATTGTGGCGCCTGGACCCGGTTGATTCACTGTCCTTCCCTTGTATGTATCCATAGGTATATGTAGTTTATTATTAAGTAAGATAGATAGTCACTTACCGTTATTTTTGTAGAATTTTTAAATTTTTACTTTTAATTTTTTGGCCATTTTCGAAATCTCGTCGGAAGTCTCGTGCAACGTGACTTCCGGCTCGGTCCGATGTTAGAGAGATTGGAAGTGGTAGACAACGTGAGATTAACAGTTTTCGATATCTTTCGCTACAATTTATTCAAGAATAATGGATATTCCACCAGAAACTTGGGTAATTATATTACAAACTTTAAAACCACCTTTCTTCTTTACTTTCAATCACTTTATTCTCTGAGAAAGCTATTATTTATATAGAAATTCTTACTTCAAATTGTCCCCTTTATCTCGGAGTTTTCCCTTTTTGTTGATGGAGATTACGTTTGAATATTCACCTTTTGGTCTTGATTTTTGATGCTTACGTTGTTGAATCACTTCCCCTCCTGCCTGCCAGTTGCAGACAGGAGGTTTGTTAGGTTAGGTAAGATCATTGTAGTAAGGTAGGACCGGTATAAGCCATGTGGATGTGTAGGCCATTTGGTATAGTTCCTATGTTTCATTTGAAGGCCACTTTGGTCCTTTTATTACTTTAGATTTAGTACATTGTGAATATGGGCGCACTTTGCGGACCCTAAGGCCACTTTGGTCCTTATGATACTTTAGTTATAGTACATTTTGAATATGGGCGCACTTTGCGGACCCTAAGGCCACTTTGGTCCTTATAATACTTTAGATTTAGTACATTGTGAATATGGGCGTACTTTGCGGACCCTAAGGCCACTTTGGTCCTTATAATACTTTAGATTTAGTACATTGTGAATATGGGCGTACTTTGCGGACCCTAAGGCCACTTTGGTCCTTATAATACTTTAGATTTAGTACATAGTGAATATGGGCGCACTTTGCGGACCCTAAGGCCACTTTGGTCCGTATGATACTTTAGTTATAGTACATTTTGAATATGGGCGCACTTTGTGGACCCTAAGGCCACTTTGGTCCTTATATTATTTTAGATTTAGTACATTTTGAATATGGGCGCACCTTGCGGACCCTAAGACCACTTTGCTCCTAATAATACTTTACACAGGCCAACCATTTGGTGTGACTTTTCACATTTCACGTTGTTATTACAACACTCATTTTGGTTTTTTTTCCTCTATTTTGGGGGTCATTTTATTAATGTTTTTGTCCTTTTTGTTTTAAGGTTATATTTGAGCCTCTTACTGTGCCACACCAGATGGATGGTCTACTTTTCCGTGTAATTAAACTATAATTAAACAAGATGTAAATAGCATGTCATTTACATCATACCTTGATGGGGAAAAATAGA